GTTTTTGGCACAGTTTGTCGTACAAGTTTTTACTTGCAGAGACTTGTCTCATTCGCAGTAACTCCCGAGCCGTGTAAGTCTTGGAGACCATTTTGACGTCAACAAAAGCAAAAAAGAAGAAAGAACGGTGGTGTTCTTTCGATTGCCAAATGAACAAGGTAGGAAATTTGTGTGCTGTGCCAAGTATCCGTATATTGGCTTGAATGAAAGTCAGAATGGGTGCGACCTGTGACCAGAGCTTGCCAGCGTCAGTGATTTGCTGTGCCTCTAACTGCGACCGAAGAAACCAAGATAGCTCATGAAAAGCAATAATATATGGTGATTGATCTAGTGGCTTTCCGAGATCCACAGTGACCTGTATGCAACGATGATAGTTGTGTAGCAAATTATACCGAATAAGGGGAGTGGCTGATGGACTCAATAGGTGGTCATGTTGTTGGGCAGCGTAGAGGCAACGAAGGATTCGCTTTGTCCTCCTCGACTTGGTCAAGACCATGTTGACTTCTCGTCACACAAGCCAAATGGGAAACGAAGGTAGGTAGAGCAATGATAAACAGGCCTTGTGTATGTCCGCACTTTGCCAATGCACAGAGTCGTAGTGTGAGCCACGGCCAGGGTTGACATGTGTGGAAGGCCGCTGGCGGCGGGTTGTTGCCAGAGAAATTAGGAATAAGACACAATCTTCAGATGAACCGATGGCCGGAGAGGGAGAAAGACAAATATAATGGCCGGCATGACCCCAAAGACACTATGACAAACAAATCTCGGATCCGAGGAACGAGATGCTAAACGGGTGGTATTGGAATGGGGGAGTTGGATCGAGGGACAAGTGCAGAACGAAGGGAGAGATATGCGCAGCGAACAAGCAAAGAAAGAAGAACTCACGAAGCAGTTTGCTCAGAAAGCAGTCAGAGAGCAGTATGCATACACGGCCTCGGTTGCTACACTCTCAGTTGAACGGACGGTTGGATAGAACCAAAGAAACTCGAGATGGACGAAACAGAGGGGTTTTTAGATACGATGAATGCAACGATGGCTTGTTCAGACGAGGAGAATGAGCTTGAGAAGTAGAAATCGAGTCTGTATGATTGTTACAATTTGGCTCGTCAACGTGGTTATCCACTGCAACATACCCAAGAGATATAAAGGAGAGTAAGAGCAGCCGTATCAGCCGTAGCTGTTGCGATTTGGGACGACGCAGTTGGAAACATGAGGAGGTAGGTAAGGTAAGAGGACTTGAGATGGCTTGATGTATACGGGGCGGCTTGTGGTGTTTGCAAATGGGAAGGAAGGTCCTTCCCTCTCCCAAAAAAATGACAACGAAGTATAGCACGAGGAATCAAAATGGAAGGAGCAGCCTCAGACGCGAGCGAGTAATGACAGCCACGGTACCGTACGTACAAAAAAATACCTAGGTACTTGGGGCATTTCCACTGCATTGTGGCCGAGTAATGAGGAGAAGAGAAGGAAAAAAAACAGGAAGGACAGCACGAGCAATCCCAAGTGTTATTGCAGGCAAGTTCGATGGTATTCCGTCATTGTTTGGGATCGGCAAATTATACCGTCCGTCTTCATGACAGCTGGTGTTTGATGGACGGGCGAGTTTTCACAGCCGGCAAGCCAAAGTGTCATGTAAGAAACAGGATTCCACCAAACGTTTTTGATCCTCAGGATAGACGTCGATAGGGGGTGGACAATGCATGTGGCTGACTATACAATGACAATAGACAACAAGGGGGATTGTGCAGGACAATGATGAACCAACAACCAACAGGTATACCATTGAAAAGTCTCTATAGTCAGATTGAGCTCGAGAAAGGATTCATATAAAGCACAATTACAGAACCAAATTCCAAGAATAAATAATTCCTAGTGAAGATAGAGCGGAGACAGTCTACATGTTGAGTGCTAAGACGCCTCAATACATGTCCAGGTAGATAGTTGATTCGTACAAAAAGGTAGAACAATGATTAAAATCTGAGCCGTGATGAATTTCTTTCCGTTTTGACAGAATTTCCTGTGCTTCACAAGGGTGTCCGCATCTAGTCTACGTGGTAGTTGTGCCATCGCTCTGTTGCTAATTACCCAAGAACCTCTCCCTAATCACGTCGCTCCATCCAAAAAGTCAAAGCCATCGTCAAACATTAATCTCCACGACAAATACGCACCCGAAAAACACATCACTCATTTTGAATATGTCTTGATCAAGCCGACAGTGAGAATGTGCTACTACCGTTCGTCGGGTCCATCAGGTTCTGGGATGGGTGTGATTGGTTTTGGCTTCGGCGGAGGATCTGCCGCATCCCCTGACCAAGTCGACAGAAGCGGGGACAGGCGGTACATGCTGGATGCTGTTGTGAATATTATGATCAGTTTTATTAACTCATACTCCATATAGAGTTTGGAGAATCGCATACAGTGCCAAAGGGGTCGATAACGCAGCACGGATTCAAATTCTCCAACCCTCAGAGGAGTGAGCAAACCGTTGGATCGAAATCAGCAGTTCTATCGAGAGGCTATCGAACTGCCTTAGTTTTCAGCGTCGTCGGGCCTCGACAGTAGCGGAAGCTGCTGGGTTTATAAAGACGATTGTACTTGTCAACACCAGGGTGAAAAAAAAGGCCCGGGAGGTCATCAGGTTCAAAATGCCCAGTCATGAGCTGTTAGTTTCCCTTTCCAGACTTGCGCTCTGACAAAAGCAAAAGCAAAACCCCAGGTATCCCAGCCCAAAATAGCAAACCGAGGATGGAGAAGCTTTGGGGTGAACGGAGAAGGATGAAACAAACTGAGGCACCACACGCTTCCCGCAAGTTCCACGGCCGAAAGGGACCACGCGCTCAGCCCATATTAGCCGTTTTCTGACAATGGACGGCTGTGGGCGATGATCTTGGCGAGATTGGCGACACCAATGGCAGGTGAGTTTCGATAAATGTTCATACGTATTTCGCATCTAGGGTACATTGTGCGCGCGCCACACTGCATATGTGAGAACAAATGTTTCAGCAGGGTGTAAATGGTCCGATGTCAATATTCAGTGTAGTTGTCGCGACCTGTACAATATAATACCATGGCGTAGAGGTGTGTGCTGTAGTATGGTAGCGTATACTTGACGACTGGCGATAGATCTTTGTCACAAACTGTACCATACATTGGGGAATTGAAACATTTACCAAGGAGCAGGCCTTGGCGGCAGTGAAAACATTGTAGTCTGGTACAGGACTACTCCGTATAGTCCGTGATAAATGTCCCCCCCCCCGAAGCTCGGACATCGAGGTTGACACAGATGGGGCATGTCTCGTCTCATCTGCGCTGCGGCGGTTTCTACATCAAGTTTCAACTGCCGCTCAGAGCGGCTGGGCAAGGTATGTACACTATGGTGCCTGCTAGGAGGCTTGGCTATTTCGGGACAACTACCCTCAACTTCCCAGACTGGCCAGAGAGCTGTTTTGAAACTGATTTGCATACTTGCATGTGCGAACCTTGATAGGTTTTTCATCGTCCCGGGCAAGGACGAGGAGGCAGCGTATAGTCATGGCGAGGCTCGAACGGTTACAGAAAGGCGAAGTGTGCACTCCTGGACATGAGGTCTGGGCTAACCTTCTTCATGGTGACATGGTCTTAGTACTAGGTTAGGTACCACGGCAAAGAGCGAGCGGAGTATGACGACGGTACTAGTTTCATGACGAGCGGGACTTCCCGTTGACATGTGGTTAAGACGCATGAGCGGCGAGTTGGGAGGCCTTGAGTAGCGCCAACATAAGACAGGGACACGATACGACCAGAGGAAGTGAAGCCAGTCTGTTGCCTGGCTCTGGTGTGCATATTTCCGACTTGAGCAAATGGAAACCGCAACCAACACCGCACCGGATTTAGGCACTGTCCAAGGTGTACTCCGTATTCCGTGCTCACCTTTAAGTACGCTCGCGGCCCCTGGTTCTGGTGACAGCACAACTATTACAAGACAGTGGAAAAGTCTAATGTCAAATATTGAATGAAAACATTGAACTCTAACAAGCTGTCTTGTCATAGCTGATAGCCAGGGGGCAGTCACCAGAACGACCTTGGCGCAGTAAGGTACCTGAGGTACTGTAGGTACCTACTTTACCCAGGTACCTAGGTACCTAGGTATCTACATATGTGCCTTAAGTACTTACTTAAGTACTGAGTAAGCAGGGCACTTAAGGTACAACTAGCCCTGTGGCCGCACCGAGGACGCGCATGGTGGCTCTGCAGCCCCTCTTCAAGCTCAAAGCCGCCACGAGGATTGCCGTGCCATCGACGACCGTAAACGCCAGGCACCATTTCGCTTTCTTTTCCGTGCAGACGCAACACGACCCCAATCCTGCTTCTCCAGACGTCTGTCTCTACAGCAAAAAAAGCCACCTGCTCCATGCATCTGTCCACAGTTACGCGAAGATGCCTTGGAAAAGCTCTGCATGCCCTGCACAGAAAAAAAAACACCAACCGAGCTCCTTCGAGCTGCCATGTCCCTGTCGTCGCCGGACATGCGGCTAAAAAGACGGGTTGGCCTGGCTTGCTTGTTGCGTGTTGCTTGGGACCGTTGGATACGGGGCAATGTGGGCCTCAATGGCTGGGATCGGCGACATTGGTCCTCGGCAATCGGGACTGGGCTAATCGACGACACTTGAATCGAATCAAGAGAGGTCAAAAAGGAGAGAGCGCATGAGGAAATTAATGAAAGCCGCGGCAGCCCTCCTAGCGCCGTTTCCCAATTTGACCCCATGGCCGATCCCTAGCTCCGGGTATTCCAGAGCTTCGTGGAGCAAAGACGGTGCCAGTTAGAAATAGACTTTCTGTCACGGCAACTGCATGTGGTCTCTTATAAGTACCGTCCCTCCACTGCGCCCCCGTCGACATTCGCCCATTCGAGCATCACCAAACACGACCGACGCATCGAAACAGCAGTCTGTACGAAAGGCCAATCAACCTGCCCTACAACACCACCCTCTTTCTCTCACCACGTGCCAATCAAGCAAACAATGGCCCCCCTCACCCCGCACTGGCAGCAGCCCTCTCACCCTGCCGTTCAGGAAGTCGTCATCAACGAGCAAGAGTTCACCACCAAGAGCTACTCCAAGGTGACACTGCCGCCGTTTGCTGTCTTTGCGAAGCTCTCCTTCCCGCCTTGCACTGTTGCCGACGAGCCGACGTACGCCACCGTGCAGATGGGCCGGCATAGCCATTTTAATCTGAATAGCGATTTGCTGTATATCAATCACTCTTGTGAACCGTCCCTTGTTAGTCGTCCCCGTTCTGGAGTTGTATTCGATGGCCATGGATGATGGGCATTCGACCCTGTCCACGCGGGGGGTTGCAAGAAGAGGTGTGACGCGTCGAAAGTCAGGGGTAGAGATTGAGGTGAATGACGTCAAATAACGTAGTAAAGACGTTGACTGGAATAGATATTTGACACTGGGAACATGAACGTCCTCGTCGGACCAAAGGGCCTCAAGCCCGGCGACGAACTCACTGTTAGTCCCCCCCCTTCCCAAAGCCTCGCAAATCCCCCTGTTCCCTCCACCAAGCCATGGCAGCAACACCCTGTAGCTACGTGACGGACTGAAACTCTAATAGTTCTTCTACCCCTCCACGGAATGGCACATGAACCAGCCATTCACCTGCCTCTGCGGCCATCCCACCTGCCGCGGCACCATCTCCGGCGCAAAGGACATGACGCCGCAACAGCTCCATGGCGTGTGGCTCAGCGGCCATATCCGTGATCTGCTCGACGATAGGAACTGCTCCACCAACTGCGGCCACGAGTCGGATGCCACGGCGCGGGCGTTGAAGGAAGCTGTCCTGCAGGCTGAAAAGGTCGTCGAAGCAGCCCGTCTTGCGATGCGTACGTACGCGGGTGTTTCGCAGAAGAGCGGCGTGGCCGCTATAAATAGCGCCAAGAATAATGGGTTCGCAGCCCGAGAGGATATTGATGTAGCAGAGGGCTTGAGTAGACGCGGTCCGACATCAAGGGAGTTGAGTGGCGAGATGGGTGGTGATACTGTCCGTGTGTAAAGGGATTGGGGAGTGGACGGACGCATGTTTGTTCTGTTCTGCGGCGACTCAACGTTTGTCGCTGGATAGAGAGGGGGGTTCACTTCTTGGTAGTGACAGTTCAACCTGATCACATATGCCATCGATATCTTCAAAAGTTCATATTTGTTTGCTTTCCTTTGATCGTATCTTTACTATTTGCCTTGATTATATGATCCCATAGTCCTGCGTGTTACACAGTAGAAGGTCCACTCCTACCTGGAGAAATGTATATAAATCATGATCCAATATTCCGAAACGCCGAATCGTACATGCCATGCAATGCTTTTGGTTTCTTATTTGGCCTTGGGAGTTGCATCCTCCTGCTCTTCGGGTCGCCCGTCGTCTTGCTTACGATCCTGCCAGCGAAACCAAGCACTGCGGCCCTTCTCAGTCCCGGAGCCACCGCTGTATTTGGCTTCTAGCTTCTCCCACTCCTCACGCTCTTGGTGTCGGCGTGATTGAAAAGCCCGAACAAATTTCCAGATCTCCATATCGGCCATATTCCAGGCTTCTAAGGATGCACGCAGCCTTGTTTCGTCAGTGGACTTGGTCAAGCCGATAACCTTCTTTGCCTGATCGATGAGTGGCTGCTCCGAGGCTCTCTCTTCTGGCGTGACTACTGGGCCGTTGTTTTTGTGAGGCTGCTTGTTTTCCTTTCCTGGCAAACGGTCCGCGGGGACAGGAGGCTGGGCTTGGCCCAAATCCAGCACTTTCTTGGGGATGGCGAAGCCAAAATACCAGCTCATGTCGGAAGGCATATCCTTTTCAGCTGCAACCCACAGAGAACGAGAAGTGGCATAGTCGCCGGCAACTGCTTCTTTCAGGCGAACTAGACGCAGGGTAGTAGTGACGCCAGGTCCAAGAAGGGCTTCGGTGACCGTTCTAATCCACGAGTCTCGTGGAGATTCTTGGCGGATCCAGGAGACGTTGAACGATTCTCGCATCTCCTTGACCAGGGTCAACGTCCAAGGATGAGGGACAGTGCCAATGCTGAATACCTTGCTCGTGTTGTGAAATCGAGTAGGTGTTGTGACTGGCATAGGCGACATGGCAACACACGGGGTACATCTTGGCAGGTTCGGTGGACAAGTTGCTGGCATGGGACTATCCGAACACGAGGCCAGATCTCTGGCTAGCTGCAAAGCATTGCTGACCAAGGTGCTCATGTGGTCCGGAAAAGGTTTAATGACTTCAATACCATCGGAAAATCGGTTCTGCCACGCAACATGCAAATGAGTAGTTATTAATTTGTTGAGGCTGACAAGCCCGCTGGCACGATGCCTCTTGATCTCGTCCGCAACTTTAGCGTACTTTTTGGCAATGATGACAGGAGTATACGCGGCAAGTGGCATGGTGGCCTTCTCGACCTTAATAACTTCGTCAGGCACTCCCGAGATGAGGGATTTGACACTTGCTAGCTTTTTTGGGTCGATGTTCGTAACCGCCTGTATGGCCGATTTGATTTGGTCCTTGTGGCCGACAAAGAGCGCATCTTCCAGATCCTTCCACCGGGTCAAATGGGGATACTCGCCACGACGAAGAAACGCGAGTAGTGAATCCTCCTTCGCAACCGCGGGCAGCAACGTGTAGTGGGTCAATATGCCTCCATCCATGGTGTCCCAGGCCAGCCAACGCATCAGGTCTGCCATGAGATCAGGGTCAACGTTGAGTCTCTGAATGAGATCATACGAGGGGTTATTCATGGCTTCGGAAGCGCTGAGAATTACGGGCCGGAAACCTTGCGCCCACCAGGCTCTCCTCCAAGTAAGGAGCAACTCGCTTTCGGCGTCCTTTTCTTCCGTCGTCTTCTTAGCTGTTGCGTCGTAGTAACAATACACTGGTTGGCGGGGTTTTAACGGAGGAAGCAACGCCCTGTCTTCATCCACAGTTATGATGCTAGAAAACGGAACTTTAAGCCACTTCCAATCAGATAACCAGGACGATCCTGCATATTCGTCTTTATCGTTATGCGGGGGAGGATGTGACTTTTGTCGGAACGGGTTGAGGAAGCTCTTGGAAAGCGAGTCACCGATATGCGGCATGTTTGGCACATGGGGGACGGACAGCTTGGTGTCATAGGCTGAGAGACTCGGTGAGGCTGGTACGCCGGATGTCAGAGTCGATATTAGGGCAATGGCAAATATAGAGAGACCGAGTAACAAGAAGGTCAGACGCCGAGCCGTGAATGGCGGCACCGGCCGCCCAAATAAGATGTATTGTCTGGGCATTGTAGCAAGAAAGGATGATGAGGAATGATTTTCGGAGAGAGAGTTGCAGTCGGATCACAGATCACGGACTACGTAGTTCGGAAGGACAGTCGGTAGAGGCAAAGACGGCCGGTAGAGATGTGTTATTGACGTGTCGCCTTGAACATTGAACGGCTTAAGCGAAAGCCAAAAGGGGGTTTGGAGCTTCCGCAAAAGCCGCCCTAGTTGGTCATGGACTGTGGTAGTGTCGGATTGGAGGCGAAAGCACCAGCCAAGCGTGACGGCGCGTATAGCTGATGATGCGAGGTGCGCGATGCCTTAAGCTGAGTCCAGATGCGCCAGGTGTCAGTCTGGTCTAGCGCCAGTGACTCCGGTTTGTCAACTCTCGGTGGCTGACCGGCGGCGCAGCTGAGGCCCGCAGCCCACAGTAATACCAGACCGACCCCATCTCTTTAGCTGTCAAATGCCTCGTGGGGCGTTGCTTACCTAAGAAAATTGTATCAGAGGAGGCCCCACGAGCCATTTGACATACTACTACTAGCGAAAATGTCAGGTGGGCTGGTGGGGGAGGCGGGAGGCTTGAAGTTCATGTTCCGGTTGAGGCTCCGGGGCCTGGGCCGCCACGACGGCCTGCGCCAATTGCCCAAAAATAATATCTACGGACAGCCACAGAGTGGCAGAGAAGAGGGCAAAGGGCAGTTTGTTAAACCACTTGGGCGCAACGCCTTGCGACCGTAAGAGATGCAAGAATGCACTGTGGTATAATTCTAGGTAAATTACTACTTCTAAGTAGTACTTAAGTAAGTAAAGTAGGTTCCCTAAGTTAAGTACCTACTTACTTAAGCACTTACTTAAATACTTAGTATTGAAGTACTTAAACTTAAGGTAGGGAAGTACTTAGGCCAAGGCGACCGCCAAACATGCCTCCGCGCTCCTCTCTCCCAAGCTGCCCAGAGACGTCGTTTGCTGCCTTCGGGTACCCAATACCTGATCTTGGCACTCAAGCCGGGTGCTTCGGTAGGTACCAGAGTCGGTGCTTAAGTATAAGCACAAGCATGGTTGCCTAACAGTCTAATTTCGTCGACGAACCTCGAGGCTGCTTTCCCAACTTCAACTGTCACTGATCTTGATTTGGCTATCGCCGCATTTTCCCATCTCCGTCATTAGACTCTACAGCCTTCGGAATCTATATTCTTCACAGCTGGCCAGCGCAACTAGAGCGACCCACGCCTTCGTTATCACGCCGTTGTCATGTTGAAGGCAGGATAGTCTTGCGGCTTCCCTTGACGCACCGCCATTTGCTTGCCAATCCAACCAGACCGTTGGCTGACCCTGTTTGCGGTTTTGCCAAACTCGTAGTTGCAAACTGCCTATCGATGGGTGTCCCTGTCACAGGACGAGATCATCCTATCCACCAGGCATTTTACTAATTAATATCCAACGTTCTCTCTGCTCCCCTCTCATATTTTCCACCACAGCTCCCACGTCCAGTTTCCAGCTTGCTTTTTTTGGAGGCGAAGATGAGTTCTAGCGCAAGAGCCTTCCTGGCAGATTTGGCTAAAGCGAGAGAAACACAATATGATAGCATTTCGGGAATTCGACGAGGCGACTCCGATGGCGAAGTATCATTGTTGTATTCCAATGACTCCTTGGAAGAGCCCTTGGAGATAAAGATACTTTCAATGGGTGCGTCTCCGACACCTCTTGCCAATATTAGACCGAGAGACGGGATCATTATTTTCTCAACGCTAATGGCTTATAGATGTGACGTCTTATCCAGATGATTCGTGCTTCATGGTATTTACCTCGTCAGAAACTTGCGACACCAAAGTTCTCTCCCTTCTCGAACTCATCTCATCCTCGACGAGAGGATCAACGTTGCATGAAGTCATTCAGACTGTGTCAGACCAGCTCACAGCAAGCTTTGATGACACCCTCGAGTCCGGCTTTGGAAGCAGCGCCTCTCCAGACCAGGATACGCCTGATTATGAATTTTACGACTCTTTCGAGATTAGTGATGACGAGGCTTTTCCGCAACTTGAGAAAAGCCGAGCCGATGGTAAGTGCCAAGATGTATGCGGTCGGCTTCTTGAGAAAGAGGAACTGCAGAGACTCTGCAAAGACTTGAAAACGGCTAAGGAAGCTGGGGTAACGGTTGGAATTTTCCCAAATACTGCCGATCGCCCACTGGAGGTAATATCATTGTCTATCAGGATTTCCAAACTAGGTATTACGTCGGAAACGATGCATGCTTGGGACATCAAAGTGACTGATTACATCGTATTACTTATGCGACTTCCAAATGGCTATCCGAGTATAGCAACACTGCTTCATTCATCTCGGACACATCCCGTCGTTCAATTCAGATTCGGAAGATGCTCATCGGCCAAGCCATCTATTGAGTCAGTGAGATTGGCCTTTCAATATAGCCCGACTGCAACTAAGAATTCCGACGACCCGGATAGCACACTTCCAGCGTTCTCCTCTGTTTGTATGTCTAATTCAATCGATATGCTTTTCAATAAGTCATTTGTTAGTTTGTTAAGATTTCGAAGAGCGTACGGACATACTTGGGATGAAGCGCAGGCCACCATGCACGAATATATCGGACGCATCCAGTCTAAGATTGCGACAGAGAACAATATGGGCTTAACGGGTGCGGGCCACGAGATTCCAATCTCAACACATGCTCCTTCAAGTCTGCAACACGACTTTGCTTTAGATGACGAAGCCAGCATCAGCTTCCCTCTCGTTGCAATGCAATTTGCTCTTCGTCGGTTCTGCAAGTGCACCGAATATTGCATCGTATGCCATCTGAAACTTCAGACAGACTTTGTACCACTCAAACCTTATGTCTGTACAAAGGACCTATGCCTGTATCAGTACCTGGCTTTGGGTCTAGGACCAAATATTGAACACGAGGTCATAAGTAGCCCCTATGTAGTTGACCTTCTGATCAGCTTCTTCTATTCCGGGGAGACTCAAAGAAGTATTCGAGAATTTCCGTGTGGGTTGGCCTTGAGGGCGCCCGTTATCCAGCAATCGGCGCCACACCTTGAGATAGAGACATGTATTCAGTCTCAACAATTTCGAATCCTACGAGCCAAGAATGAACCAATGGGTACCAATATTCGAAAAAGAATGCGTAACGGAGATTGGTTTGCAATGCTTACCAATAAGGCGGGATGTAAGTTCAATGACACTCGGAGCTATGAACCACTATCATCATCCTTAGCTTCAGGTGTAATGTCCTCGGTATAAGCAGTACCTATGTTATTTGTGCTGATAAGTACATAGCCATTGAAAAACACACATGTTATGTGTCAGAGACTCTTGACGATGGCCTTTATAAGTACGAAACAACCAACTCCATCATTTGGCCGAAGAACCGGGCTGAGATCTCGATCTCAGAATTGATCTTTAGCACTGCCGTCCCCTCCAAAAAAGATTTCTGGCAGTCGGGGTTTATATTTCTGTACGAGCACGACGTTGACAATCTCGATGCTGACCAGCGCGCTATTGCATTAACGGAGTTGCTTGATAACCTCCCCTCCGTGTTGGAAATGAGAAGCTACTTATTGGATGAACCTGGCCGAATGCTATCCTCGTGGAAACGAATAAACACCTCTGCACTGTCTCTTATGCGTTGGATTGTCGCTTCAAACACTTCTTACATCGTCCAAGACGGCCCTGTACCGTCCAAAGACCTTGCAGCTCACTCTAGTAATCAAAATCCGCCGTCGGCGGCTATGAGGAAGGCAACTTCAAATCTAATTCGTCCCTTAGAGAATGGCTGGATGCAGTTTCGTTTTGCGCAAGGATCTCCAGAAAAAGAGTTTGCGTTTCTGAAAACTCTACAGGAGATGAAGAGTAAAAATCAGTCAACAGTCAAGCCACCAAGCCTCTTCGTCTGGCATGGCAGCCCGATTTCCAATTGGCATAGCATAATTCGCGCAGGGCTGGATTTCCAGCAAACCCGACATGGGAGGTCCTATGGCAATGGGGTTTATTTCAGCAAACATATGGAGGTGAGCAAGACATATTCGACAAGATTAGATTTTTGTGCCAAAGCCGTACGTTTAAAACCCTCAAAAGGCTTTCAAATTTTAGCTGTTTGTCCCCTCCTTTCAACTGCAACACAGCTAACGATTCATGAACCTGCTGCTAGCCTTTTCGTCACTGCTGGATGGGTTCAGAACTTAGGATCTCGCTGGCTTTAAGTATATGCGAGATTGTCAACAAGCCTGAAGAATTTGTTGCCTCTCATCCTCACTTCGTTGTTGACAAGGAAGAATGGATACAATGCCGGTATCTTTTGATACAGATTGATCCCACCGAGAATGCGCTCAAAAATCCCCTTTTTGCCCCATCTGGCCCAGAATGCACTGGGTATATTCAACAAGACCCGGAACACTGCATTATGAATGAATATAGTATGGATCCCTTGCAAATTCCACTGAGTGCTCTTTCCGTTGCCAGACAACAAGAGGCTCTGGGTCTGACGTTGGGCAACACGGCATTGGATTCCATCACGGCTGTCACAAATAAGATCGATGATGAATCATGTGACAGTGAGAGCGGAGATCATCCGGAAATTTTGGTCGATGATATCTTGAAGCTGTACAGAGCACATGAGAGTCGGAAACGTCAACGCAGTACATCGCCTGAACCGAGTTCCTGCGGCCTGGCTTCATCACCATCACCTTGGAAGAGTACAAAATGGAGCGAAATCGGCAAAAAAAACACCCGTTCTACCCAGAACATGACTGTGTCCTTGGGTTCATTAGACTATAAGACCATCCCTCAACTTCCACCTCCTAGCTGGGCAACATCATCGCCGATGGCCCTCCAAACCCTGACCAGAGAGTTGAAACATATTCATACTATTCAATCACAAAATCATGCCGCATCACTAGGCTGGTCTGTCGACGCGTTAGCCATTGACAATCTCTTCCAGTGGATCGTCCAGTTTCACTCTTTCGATTCGGGGCTTCCTCTTGCCATGGACATGAAATCGAGGG